AAAATTTGTGTCAGCCAATCACATTTTACAAAATTTTCCTGGGTGGAAATTGGCCTTAAGCTTGGCGACAAAAGAAACATCGTGAAATAGTTGGGGAGAACAAAGGAAAACTTTTCAACACAGAACCACCCCACAATGGAAGACCCTCAAGATAATCGCTGGTTTTCGAGGTATCTAAAACGTGAAAGAATCGATATACCCAGGCATTTGCAAGCGTTCTAAACATTACCCCAAACCTAACACTAATTATGAGTTTCCATTCGGAACCGATCTTGTAAATTCCCTCTTGTCTATCCCTTAGAGTCATTATCAAGGGGGAACAACGCTATCTGATATTATGGGTGAAGCTTTTTAGGGTGGGGGGAGGGCTTGTAAATTCAAGTGTTATGTGTCGAAATCTAAGTTAGTCCTTTCTGAATGCAATGCTCTTTATTTCATTGCGATAGCTTTTATAGCTTTTACGTTACATGAAATCAAACAGTGCCCAGCTTTTTTGGGACACCCGGTACAATTTGCTCCCAGCGCAGAGGGCGCCATTTGGATGCGTAGTCGAAAGTCTGAATAGACCTTATGCATAATGACGTCACAAGGCTTGATGCCCGCGAGGAATGCTGGTCTTAGTAGTCATCGCCCGGGAAAATTAAACAATTCAAAATGGCCACTATCGAAATTTTCCCGGGCGATGACTATTAAGACCAGCATTCCTCGCGGTCATCAAGCCTTGTGACGTCAACACGCATAAGGTCTACAGCTGCCGTGGTTTATGTCTGAACTACCTGAAAAAGATTAAAATAGAGAACAAAACATTTGTGTCAAAAGGACACTACACTCATCCACACACAGGACCCCAGGCCCCACGTTTGAGTCAACTACACCGAACAACTAATTACAGGTCGGCTTATTATAGTATTTTTTAACTGTCTGTGCCAGTGTAGGTAGTGGCAATAATATGAATAAGCTTTCGTTGGGATGCAACTACCTGAAAAATATAAGGAGGATTTCGACGTTTCGAGCGATGGCCCTTCGTCTGGCTCGAAGCATCGAAATTCTTCTTATCTTTTTCAGAGAGTTGCATTCCTACCAACGAATATACAATTACTTTATGGTTTCCGTGTTTGGATGGCCTGATCCAAACACGCGGGAATGTTGCGAGAGTTAAGAAAAGCGAGCGAAACACGAGCCGAAGGCGAGTGATTTTGCCCGCTTTTCTTAACTCGAGCAACATTCCCAAGTGTTTGGATCAGTCCATCCAAACACAGAAACCATAAAGTAATTGTTTTATAAAATAACAACAACACGGTAGTCTTCCGTGTTTGGATGGCCTGATCCAAACACGGCTTTCGACCAATCAGAATACGCGTTATATACATGTTATTTTATAAAGCTTGTTCTTATTATAGTATTGCATATACTTGTTTGACTAATATATAATTGTCCGAGTTCAACATGTTTGTTGTAATTTTAATATAGCTTCAACATGAAGATTCGTCGCATGACATAGAATATTAGAAAACAGAAAAATGAAAGGCAATAATAGTTTAAGAGAACGGTCTGAGCCAGTAAGAATGTTCGGATTGATAGGGATACAACTACCTGAAAAATAGGAGAACTCCGACGTTAGTGGTTGGCTACGAACTACCCAACGAAGCGCCTTCGCTCCAAACGTCGAAGTTCTCCTTGTATTTTTCAGGTAGTTGTATCCCTATCAATCCGAAGCTTTCTTAACAGTTTATGCTATGTTTTTACCACAATCAATAACTCGTGAGGCAAAACGCTTTCTCAGACCATCGTCAATAGTGTTGTACAAGGTATAAAAGTTCAAAAAACTAAACTTTCAAAGACGATTTTTTTTAAGGGGATTGTCGATTGTATACGAAGAGAGGAGAATAGAGCCAGGACGGAGCTCCGCCCTTGGTCTCAGATCGTGGGTTCGATTCTCGTTCCAGACTCTAACCACGACAAATTACGAGCGAGATTTATCCGTCAGTACGAGATACAATCTGAATGACTGCACACTTGTACTGAATTAAGAATAATACTTAAGCTAAGCTAAAGGATAATACTAGGAAAATTACTGACTTGCATTTGGTTGAAAGAAAGGCGTGTGTTCACTACAATATCAGGTATCACTATATTACTATATTGAGAAGCGGATCACCATCCAGTTGGGTAAAAGAAAGTAACGGGCTGTATATAGTAAATAATAATTCAAAGGCAAAAAGGTGACACTATAAGATCTTCAATGACTTGTATTATGTTTTCTTGAAGGCATGACGATGTCTTGTACATCTAATATGCGTCCCTGATGGCCACATGCAAGGCAAGTCATTATTCTAAATGCTTCAATAAGAAAGACAAAGTTTAAAACAAACTTGCTGTCTGGTTATCGTGACGCTTAGCTCAAAGCAAGGATTGATTTTCTTGTTGTTGTTGCCAAGTTTCTGTTGAGGAAAACTACATTAAACGCCTGCTGTGTTTAACTCCCATTAAGATTGGACGCCATTTTGTCAACCGAAGGAAGTGGACCTCTTGACTGGTAAGAATTTAAGCAACGAACTTGAGAAATGTTTAAGCCAGTGCTTGGACGTGACGAAAAACACTCGCTAACATATCGAAATCAGTTTTAATTCGTTTTTCTTGTTGTATCGTCATTGTTTGAAGAGACTCCAGGCATATAGCTTTTCCGTCGCAGCTAGAACTGTGAAGTTGGCCATTGTTTTTTTGCCGTGTTCCCGTAGGCGTTTGAAGAAATGTACCTGTGTCACTTTATTTTCGACTTCTTATATTTCAACCTTAAACTGTCAACGTCACTAGTTTTCGACTCTCTTTCAACCTCGTATCTAAACTGCGTATAAACAACACGTACTCGCCAGGCACTCCATAGAGAACATCGCATACACGAGCAAAATGTTCTCGAAACTTGTCTCGATTTAACATTTCATACCATGATTCATGATGAAGTCATTTGAAATCCGATGGCTTTCTTTAACTTTTATTTAATACCGCTCTTTCGCGAAGATTTTGTGTATTGAAAAAATTACAGTGCATGCGAGATTTTACACACGGCATGACATTGTGACAGTACAACCTCGTGGAGTCTTCGCTTCGGCTGAGAAATATCATTTTTCACGCAGGTCCTTATAACAAACACTGCCACTGTTTTCTTTGCCACAGTGTTCTAATACTTGGCCAGGTAATAATTCATCTCTAGCTGTTTCCAGGAATCGTTCGGGAACATAATGATACAGACTGCCGTCGATATAAAACGAGAATGATATGATCATAACAATTTGCCACTATATACAACTAACACACGTCTTGTCCAGTAAAGAGTTGGATCAAAATCATTGCGTTCAACTTTTGCAGTGTGCTTGATCTAACAAATAATAATAATCCCTAAAATGAAAAACCAAGCTTACCAAAAAAGAAGAAGTGGGAAAATGGAGTAGTTCTATACGGTACAGAAGCATTGTCCAAGTTCAGGCCAGCATTTTTAAATTATCGAAGCATCAAATTGAATATTCCATTGTATTAATTGCTGAATGAGATCCACATAGGTCTTCCTTGACTTTTGGTATATTATTTATTAAGTTTGAGTTATCATTTTGGATAGAGCTATTCTAGTCCATGTGGTTGCTGTTAATTCGTTTGTGCTCATTCAAACTTGTTTAAGCTATCATTAAGGATAGTCCAAACCAAGACAGTATAACCAAGTGTTGATCTCCAGCATTTAATAGATTGGTTTCTTGTTTGGATCATAAATATTTGGAACAGAAGATTCCTATATATTTGGAACAGAAGATTCCAATATATTTTCCATGAGTAAGGGTTTACAATTTCATCATTCAAGTGAAGACTGCTGAAGATAGGAAAGCAAATCCGTCAACTTAAGGGGTTTTCTTTAAACTACAGTACTATACCAACCCCACCATCCCTGTGTTCCCTGTGTGTAAAGGTGGATTCCTCGTTGAAACAGTGACTTGTTCACAGATCTAATATATTTCTAAAATAGATAACCTATGGTTTACCATTTCATCTCATAATCCAGGCGTACACCACTGAAGATATGACCAGAATTGGCTGAACAGACTCACACGTGCATGATTTTTATACAAGCGTTTCACAATTTCAGAAAGGTAAGGAAACCAAGGTAACTTCGAAGTTTTACTTGTAGTTTTCAGGCAGTTGAATCCGTATCAATCTGCAGTTTTCTGGTGTTTAAAACCACTGATGCATTGGTTAACAAGTACATACAAATACCCCCTTCAATGAATCTTTAAATATTCAACTGGGTATAAGAAACCGAGGAGTTTCACTTTTAAGATTTTGTTGTGTTAAGAATTACAGAACACTGTTCCATCCAAAAATCAAATGGTCTTCGAATATTTCATTGTGTTAAGAATTACACTGATGCTTTTTCCACAATCCTTCACTTGAAGCCAAACATGAAAAGGCAAGAGTAAAAGCCGACAATTTGTATTACGCCATTGTTAAGCTCAGTGTAAACTCGCGTGGAAAAACATCTCAAGAAGCATCTCAGAAAACGTTCAAAACAACACTAAGTCAAAGAGCTCAGGAACGCTTTGAGAAGAGGGAACATAACATATAAATAGAACACAAGAGCTCCCCTGAGGAGGCAACTAACAGAAACAATCTTTTCTAATTAGGTTACAAAGAAAGCTTCTATTCAAACGAGCAGGTAACTAGAAGAAACAAACATCGCGGGAAGGCTAGCGTAAAAAGGTATAAGAGAATAGACGAAATTGTTCCACTGCAAATATTTTTCTTAAGTAAACGCAAGTCGTAGTATTGTTTTCAAAATGAAAAAGTAATACAAACTTGCACATGATGTATTGTAAGATTAGGAAAAGTTAATAAGTATACGCAAATAAGTTTGGAATATTTTATCGTTCAATAGAAAACAAGTCTGAAAACAAGCAAAGAAAGCTCAGACGAAGGCACCAGAAATAAACATGTATTTTCCGTTCAATAAAAGCGGGATGAGCACGATCTCGGATGACGATGATGGCGTTCCGATTTCTCCAAACTTTCCTCGGTGTACAGATGTTACAGATGAATGCAACGAATCGTCGCTAGAGGCATCCAACCCAAAGAGACAAAAGTTGGAAGGCAACCATTTTGAACTAGTTCAACAAAAATTTCTTGAGAGAAATGAGATCAGAAAATCGCCACTGCCTTACATTGGAATGATTGCAGAAGCCATTAATTCAAGTCCTGACAAAAAGATGGTATTATCGGAAATATACGCGTACATGGAGCAGCATTTCTTTCAATACCTTTCCGGGAAACCTAGATGGCGAAATACGGTGAGACATAACCTGTCGTTTCACAATTGTTTTGTGAAATGCGAGTGCTCGCGTCGAGGAAACCGTAGTCACTTTTGGAGCATCCATCCGGAATATATCGAACAATTCAAACGCGGTAACTTCACCAAAACGTTGAGTCCACCACGAGAGCAAATAAACGTGAGCCCCTATGCACCAGAGCAGCAGATATTATGTAGAAATTCACATGAGAATTATCATCGGTTCTTGCCAAATTCAGGATATGAGAACTATCTTCATTATGATACTATTCCACGACAAAATCCAAACACCCTTTATCACGTAATTGCACCATCGACAAGTAATGCAAGTCACCCACATCGTGAAATACGGTCCCTCCCAGTGGTACAAACCAGCTCTTCGAGAGGTAATGACTTTTACTCCATTTTTAAGCTTAAAGTAGTGCAAATGGACTACATAACACGAATATATGGGTTTCAATCAAGTGTCTGTATGGTGACACACATTGTGGCCAATTAGCCTTTTCTCGCGGCCGATTCTTCCGCCCATTTGGGGGTGCTGCCTCTCCCTCGTTTGAGGGTCTCCACACCACGAAATACAACTTTTTATAGAATTGTAGTTTTTTATATAATGGTATAAATTTACAGTTTCAACTTTTAAAAAGTCGCTTTTCACGTTGTTTGAATTGTCTAGAATCATTCACGAGGGCAGACAGTACCCCCACAAACTTTAGCTTTCGAATTTTAGCCTTCGTGAGACATGATACTAAATGTTTCTAAATGTTTCTATATTATACATTTTTCAAAATTATACTAAATGTTTCCATATTATACATGCATGTATGTTCTGCCAAAGACAAGGTCAATCTAATCACCCTGGTGACTGTCTTTCTTTTTAGACTTTATCATCATTATCTGCTCTACCCCACTTAATTAGTAAAACCGGTTAGGGTGGGATAAACGCAATTTTAGGTCTTTCAGTATAAAATTCATGGTTTTGCCTAAGATTGTAATGATGACTTGTATCTTTTGCTGTAGGTATCCTCTCTCATATTCCAGGACAGGTTCATGAAGAGAGTCAGAGGTTCTACCCAATAGATCATGCAGTATTACCAGCCTACCAGTACCGACATCTCATTCCCCTGCCTTGGCAGTATCAACACGTGTCTGAGACAACACGTTCAAATCACAACGTGTATCCAAATTCTAGAAGCAAAGCACCCCCAAACACTTCAAATACGAAAAGTTAAAACCGAATCTGAGAAGATCGTAGAATTCATGCAAATACCTCAAAATTCTCCAAACATAAAAAGCTAAGTCACTATCGCATGCAAAGCATATGGACATGGCATAATGTAATTGCAAAGAGCATGTGCACACTGTTGTGAACTGCAGTTATTGTCCTGATGTTATGTACATTAAAAGTCACATATTAGGCAAAAAAAATATGTGGGTTTCCGGTTTCCCGACCCTACTTAGCTTTTGGACCTTTAAATCCCGATCCTAAACTTTTTTATTGGATCATGCTTGTAAGTGTTTCCACTTAGAGGAAAAAGTTTGCGGAAAATTGAAATTTGAGGCAATATTAGGCAAATTTATCTTTGGATGTGGAAGCACTGACTAAACAAAATGGCGTCCGGTTGTTAGGAAAATTTAAAAAAGTTTAAAAAAAAAAGTTAAAACCGACCTATCCTACCTAAGTTTTTATAAGAAGAAACCGGAAACCCACATTTTTTTTTTGCCTTACACAAAGCCATGTTACAGTTTTTGCTGCAACATGCTACACAACTTCCCACATAGAGTCATGTTATTTAAAAAGTAGTTTGTGAGCATGGTCCACATTTTTTCATCCCTGAAGAGTATGTTACTGTATGTTATGAAAGAGTTGACAAAGTAGAATGCAAGCCATGCTCAGAATTTTCCTGCAACAATTTTTTAGATAACATGGTTCTATGTCAGCAAGTTGCAGCCAAAAGTGTGTTTGCTGATTATTTTAAACATTCTGGTGGAAATAATAACTTCACAGAAAGTAAAATTAATTCAGAAAATATTTTATTTTCTAATTGAGAAATGCAAAATGTCTATGAAATAATTGAAAACATTTTGCTGTTAAGAATTGATTTTTTTATAAGAGAACATACCCTCAAACTTATACGGAGATTATAAACCATTAGTTATGACAAATATGTCACAAACTTGTCAAACTATTTAAAACCACAGATTAAACAGTGCTAAACGCACAAACTTTCCTTTATTATAAGGTTTGTATATAATATATAAAGAGAGTTGAAATAATATCTATTTAATATCAAACTTCAAAGAAATGCAAGTTTATTCTAGTCTGCATATATATTTTATGTGACAATATACAATTTTGCAAAATAACAAAAGTACACATTCAAACACTAATATAAAAGAACTTTTTATTCATTACACGAGTATCTGTGTATAGTGAAGCAGCAAAAACAAAGAGAACTGAAAGAGCATGTATTTATTAACAAATTAATAAAGCGAATTAAAAATACCTTTTCTGACTCATTTGGGAAAATTTGAACTTCCCTCCATTTTGAAATCCGAGCGGGAATGGCGGGAACCGGGAACAAGTGCGCCTACGTACTAACTCTCAGCGGTTTCACCCCCTAGGCCCAGTCCCCGCAAAAAATTATCTAAACTGACGTAGCATTCCCTTTTGTTTTCTTTCGAACACAGAGCATTCAAATCACAAAAATGGTAGGTTATAAATCGATTTTATTACATAAAATGTGTATCGATCACTCCGTTTGGCCTGTAGAATAACTGTGTGTGTATAAAGGTTTCTGGGGTTATGTTAAAACTACCGAAATAGTGCAATTTAAAAGGGAATATAAGTGTGAATTTATTGTGGTATTTAATAGAACAATATGTAGCTGTTTGGTTGTTCTTAATATCAGAAAAATGTATTGTGATTGCTCTGTTTGGTCATTTATAGAATAGTTGTACGTATACAAAACTTTCACAGATTGTGTTAGAACGACGAACTAGTGTAATTTTTATAAATTAATAAAAGTGTGAAAAATTAATAGTAAAGGTACTTTAATATTGTTGATATGATTTAACCCATATTTAGGTTGCTTTATTATTTTACTCTGTCTATTAAACGCAGACAATTTTACTCGTCAAGAGGATAGTGCTGGTGCTTAATTGGTTAAAGAAGGGGAAGGGGGATAACCAAGCTCAAATTTGATCAAGTGGAAGGTTTACTAGGGCACCTCTGGCAGTTTACAGTGCTGTAGATGGCTTAGCCAAGGTACTCCCTTCCAGCACAGGAGAGAACAAAGCACAGCCTTACTTACACAAGTTTTCAATCACATCAAGTCCGAATACGGTAGTAGACTACACTTTACCATACCCTAGTGCCTAAACCTGTAAAGTACCCCAAGTAATAATATTACTGTAGTCTTGGTTGTATTGGCAGCATGTTAACCATATTAAATACCTGAAAGCAGTGTTTATAGTTTGAACGTATATTTGTTTAGGTTCAATCAGCATCAACATCCGTAGGAGGTGGTAAATCACCATCAAAAGGCCTGGCTAAGGCCTCTAGTAGTGGTGGACAGGCAAGACAGAGAAAGGGTACATCTAGTGCTGTTTCAAGGAGAACAACCACCGCTGCTGGTGGAGGAATGTGGAAATTTTACACAGAAGACTCACCTGGATTGAAAGTGTATGTCAACTTAGTTTAGGACCTGTTCATGTGAATATAGACTTTTGCAAAACCTTCTTTCTTCAGTGAAAACAAAGGCATTGGCAACATTGTTGCCCAACGAAACTTAGAGGTTGAGCAAGTTCGATACCAGTTGTTATAAAAATTTAATAATTTTCCAGGTATTCCAATTGGATACCAAGAAAATTTTGAACCTAGTATGATAGTAAACAAGGTTGATTTCTCACAGTTTTTTTCTTCATTTTTTATAGCGGTCCAGTACCTGTCCTTGTCCTGAGCCTTCTGTTTATCGCCTCTGTTTTCATGCTTCACATTTGGGGGAAATACAACCGTGGATGAGGAAAAATATTGATGCTTGTAGAGAACAATGTCTTTTAAATAATATGAATGGCAAAGTCCAACAGAAATATGAACTTCAAGATACAGCATGTGAACTTACTTATTTATGCATTGTCACTCGAGTTCGTTATTATAGAGTTTGCATATGGAATTTTATATTAAAACTATGTCTACTGTACATTCTATACTTCATGAGAAATATTTTACTGTTCATCCTTTACATAGGCTGTGATCAGTGGCAACACATGTGTATGCAAGCAGTTTGTTGCATTTTCAAACTGGTTGAATATTTACATGGGTACCATAAATCATGTTGAGAAACATTAAATTGTTGTTGTATTTTCAAAAGTTACACTCTGGACCACTGTTCCTGGATAAGTCTGGATGGAGGGGGGTAAGGTAAGGGGGAAAATTCCCCAGGAAATTGAGATTTTTGGTCTTATTTCAATTCAAAATCTTTGTTTTTAGTCTTATTTAGTTCAAAGTCCTTATTTCAATCACACCACTGTCAAATTTCTCTAGGTGGGGAGGGTAAACTTCCTGAGGGGGTGTACCCCCCAGAAAATCTGTCTACGGTTTAGTGACTAACAAAAATTTTTAAAATGACCACATTTCCTTAGTAACTACATATGTCAAAGATTATGTATAGGATAAACACCAGGAAGGAGGGATTTATGTCAGATAATGACCAGAGACGCACAGCGTCTGAGGGCATTATCTGACATAAATCCCGACTTTCGAGGTGTCTATCACATTGAATTCTTGATTGAGGAGGTTTTCCAACAATGTTTTGTCTGGTTTGAATGACAATTTTCTGAGTTTTCCTTCATCTTTTCAGCTAATTAATATTCAAGGTGATTATTAAAAATAATCGCCTCGGTACATGAAGGAAAATCATCTACCTTCCATAAACACAAGTTGAATAGTTATTTTTTCTGTGTTAAATAAATTCTTATCCCTCTATACATCACTGTGACAATGCCACGATAGCCAGCTCTTGGCACACCAGCTTTGAAATCCAACATCACACCAAGTCTCGATGCAACCCTATTGAACGTGGACTCTGTCCAATAATTAACCCTCACCGCTTTGTGGTTGCCATTTTTTCGAGCTATGATATCATCGACGCTAAAAACAGGCAGAGTTTCGATTTTACCAAGAAATTCTTTGTCATAATTCTCCTTGATGAGATACGATAAATCTGTGTGTAAGAAATCAAATTTTTTGTCGTTTAGTACAATGAACTTTAGATGTTGATCAAAGAACTGTCCTTGACTAACACCAATTCGACCAAATGTTTTCGTTCTAGAAATTTCGGGTCTTATGCATGCTCTGTCTTTCCGTTGTGCCGGTTCTCTCATCCAATCGTCCCAGAATCCAGCAGGCCATTTAGGTCCAAGTTCTCGCCATAACTTTTTTGTCATCATCCAGCCGAGTCCCGGAAAGAAGTCAGAGCGGTACAACTTGCCATTTTCGTGCGGTTCTATCAAGCCTGCCTTGCCATTGTCGTTCCATGCGGAAACGCACCATATTGTTGGATCTTGGTCCAGTAAGTGTCGTGTTCCCAGGAAATAGTCGTAAAAATCTGGAGCTACAAAGTTTAAAAAATTATTTATACTTTGATCAAAAGCTATGATTGTTTGAGAAATATGTATACGAAAAAAATTAGCAAAGCTTATGTTTTGCTATTGGTCAACTGAGAGTATAAACACTAATTTAAACATTTCAAACATAGTTACATACTAAATGGACAACCCGTTTATTCTGTAAACACATCATACCTATGTCAAGATCATCCTCAACAATAAGAACAGTATCATAACCCATTTGATCAAACATCTGACCCAAGGCCCATTTGAAATGTCGTGAGATCTTATAATAGCCCATGAAATGTCTCATATTGGCTGGAACATCACTAGGCTCTGACAGATCCGGCTGTTTGATATGACGAACCTCACTGCTGAATACCGATATTTCTTTGGCAGTTTCTTCGTGGCCACAGTCTTGGCTGACAACAATTGGAAATTGTTTAGCAGATGGTCGGTACTTTAGTAAACCATTGAGAGATCTTGTGATTGCATCTGGTCTGTTACATGAAATCACAACAATAGCAATTGTGTAGGATGATACTTCTTGTTCTGGTAGCTTGGGTGTTTTTACTACTAGGTTGTCAGAAAAAATAGATAATTAAACACCTGCAAATCACTATGGTAGCTGTATTCAATCATTACACAATAAAATGATCTAAATATTGAGAAGCTATATTTTGATGGGCTATGAAATGAAACATAATTTACAATAATATGTGCACAGGGATATAATTGTCACCCATGGATAAGAAGCTAATGTAGGAGGATGAAAATAGATTTTGACAATGGGCCATTCCAGAAAACATTCATACCTCTCCCATAGAGAAGATTGGAAGTTAACCCCCCCCCCCCCTTCGGATATCCTAATACACTTACAATTATCAGAAACAAATTTTTCTCCCCTGCCCCTTTGGACGGCAGGAATTTTTTCCTTGGGGGTAAGGTGGATCTTTTCTGGAACGACCCAATAGCTATATTTATTATTTATTTAAAAAATTCCTGGTTTCTGACTAACTAACAGCCAACTGTGAAATTGTCATATCAACTCAATGGCTAACCAAATACGGATTTTTCACATTCATATTAGCAAAATGACGTCAAAGAGTCAATATGAAAAAAATTTGGATGCGTTTGTGCCATATTACTATGACGACGAGAACCACATCACAGAATAGATACCGGACCAGAAGTGTCACTCCTATGTGTTTTGGCTGAAGGAAAACGTCCGAAATTTTTTTGCGTGCTACAGTATGACGCCATCCTGGAGTGCACCCGGCACTTTGTACCTATGTTTTCCTATGAAAAACTTCTGTGTGCACTCCAGGATGGCGTCTTATGATGGCGTATTTTCACGTCAGCACTCGTAAAATTTCGGACAAAATATCGTCTGAATGACACTTCTGGTCCTGTATCTATTCTGTGACCATATTGACTCGCTGACGCCGTTGTTATGATGCAACAACAGCTGCCGAAAGACTAAGGAATCGTTTTTGACCCACAGAAGAAGCCATGCATGCAGGAAGAAGTCCACAAGTTGTATTTGTCAACAGAAGATTTCGAATGAAATCTCTCTAGTTTCCCTAGCCCCATTATCAGCTGATAAACCCCTTATCAGACCTCACTTGCCTTTCTGCTATCCCCTCCTGCCTTTAATAATGCCCTTCACTAATGATTCATTAGTTAAATGTTGTAATGAACTAATGCCGACTATTCATGCATCATCGCCCAAGATTACTAATGAAGTTATGTATAGGATAATGCCCAAGCTCGAGGTATTATTAAAAATAATGACCGAGCGCGTAGCGCGAGGTCATTATTTTTAATAATACCGAGAGCGAGAGTATTATCCGACTTAATGCACATTATGGTGTTTATGAACAAAGAAAACTATTAAGATAGTTACAAGTTCATGCATTGTTGTGGTACTATTATTTTTCACACCATATTTGTGTTTTGTATGCGCATTCCTGGGCTGTGTTTTTTCAACAGCTACCTTTTTATTACTTGATTGATATTTGTGGAGGAGGATGTCTGGTTCGAGAAAGCGAGATTTTAGTTTGTTTGGAGAAGGATATGACGATGAATTTGAAGTTGAAAAGACCAATGATTGGGATTGCGACTGTCTAGATTTGGAAGACGATGGGCTGGATGGAATACTTTCCCAGTCATTGGATTTGTTTGCAGAGCGGAGAATTTCACTGGAAAGGCCAAATCAGATAGACAGTGTCAGTAAGCGGCGATGTAATGCACCTGGGAAAAGCACGTTGGATAGAAAAGGTGAAAATTGTCTTAGCTAAGTTTTATTTAAAAGTTAGTAACAAGTATTAATCATAGCAATTAATATTTGAATTTATTTATATTTTGCAATAGAGCAACAGAATACGTCTGACCGGTTTGAGATTTGCAGCAGTAAAAGTATGATAGAGTTGGCTTCGCGAAGCATCCCAGAAAATACTAAGAGGAAAGCGATGTGGGCATACAGAATGTTCGACGCTTGGTCACAATGGCGCCAGGAGATCTCTCAAGATGGAAGGGAAATGCGTTTGGTTGATAAAATTCTCTTGGTTTATTTTTTATTCAAGCGAAAAATCGGGGTCATTATTTTAAATATTGGAGGTCATTATTAAAAATAATAACCTCCTGACATTAAATAATGACGTTGCATTAACTTGCGCATGTCGATTCTTGAAAATAATAACCTGTTCAAAACAATGAAAATGTGCATTAAGAAGAATTAAGAAATGCTAAAATTTGAGGCTTGCTCGATTAAATATACCTTTTTTATCTTTATGTTTTGCTACAAGTGCTCTAGCCTTTTCCCTTTGACGATGCCTATCTTCCCTGGAAAAACCCAACAATGGATCGCCGTGGACAACATTTTTTACCACTGCTTTATCCACTACGCCATCAGAAATTCTGCGTTTGGGCGGCCGAGGCTGTTTACGAAAATTACTTTTAAGCTTACCTCGTACGAGAGGTGTGTTCTGCAAGCTATCTTTTGTTCTTCCGTCTTTATTGGGCGTTTCCACAGGCACATTTTTTGCAATGTTTATAAAATCAATCGTCCTTGTCGGTGCATTATTATAAAGACTGTCTGTATCTATTTCGATTTCTGGCCTCGAATGTTTCGATATCAGCACATATAAAAGTATTAAAAATACCACAGCAAATAGAGCTAACCCAGCTTTGTGTTTAATTCGCACAACACGCATTTTATTTGCATTTCACAACAAAACTTACGATTTTTACCACTTGACACGTTTGCTTTTGACAGCCATTTTGAATAATTTATACAAGACGGAGGGAACGGCTATTCAATTTTTGAGAGGGGGTTGAGAAAGGTAAGAAAAAACGCAAAAGTCAAAAGTAAAACACTTTTTTAATACTTTTAAAATTTCTTACAAATACAATTAAGGTTTATAAAATGTATTAGCCATGTCATTAGGTGTAATTATAAGTTCAATTTTCTGAAATTTTGGCTTCAGAAATATTTCCCGCTTTGAGATGTAATCCTTCTTCTTCCTTTTCGGCGTTTCCTTGGTGGTTTCAACGTTCACATTTTCTCGACCATTCTTTATGAAATCAGCAATAACTTTATTGCAACGAAATGGCGATGTTTGTCTTTCCAAAACCTTCAATGTTCCGCTCGCGACTGGCAACTGAGCGCCTCTTTGGTTGATTTCGAACAAATACGGGTTAATGCGGACTTTCGTGTTTCTACCACAACCGTTAATGGTAGCAATAAACACGATATATCGATTCAAACCAAGGTTAGGCATGTTTCCCCAGACGGTGTTTTCGTCTCCGCCGCTTGGTCGAGTTAGACTAAGCCTGTGGTGGCTATGCCATTGACCAATGTTGCACAAACCATGTTGCTGTGTCAGATAGTTGCCTGCTTCTCTCAAATACTCTATATCTTGGTAAAACGATACTCTAGTTCGGTTGCAATTCTGCCCCGGACCCAACACAAACTGGACAACAGCTGTATAGCTATTTACCCACAGACCGAACAGGTCTCCTCCCGTTTCGATATTGTCTTTTAATTCAACCCATTTCTCAATCTGCGCTCGTTCATCTTCATCTATGTAAACTGTAAACTCTGGTCTGCTGTGGAGCTCAGCCCTGTTAGATTCTTGCCTTTGGTGAGTTTTGTTGGGGCTTTGCCCTTGGTTTTTGTTGTTCCTATTTTTACGAGGCATTTTCAAACTTTGATGCCGCGCACTTTCACTTTAGTAAATGTATTATGTATCCACCCACAAGCAAGGATTTTCCAAGAACCAGTGATAAGAATACTTGGAAATATGTGTCAAAATGATACTCCCACTGATAATTGTGTATTATGTAAATTGTATAACACTATTGTTAAGATTGAACACAATTGTGTGTTATAAAAGTGGTCATGCAGTGCACTGTGAAAGCAAAGGTGAAAATTGAGAGATTATACGAGAAGACAGCATGGTCTTTAGTAGTTTTCCCAAGGTGTTAGGGCAAATTTAAACGGTCTACATCTGCTAGAGCCAGACATATGATAAGACAGACCAAATGCACCGTAACTCGGTTCCAGTCTTTGTCTCGCTATTCGATAGATCGAACATAAGTTCAGGTTTCGCTCACTGAACGCTATAACACTGAACTCTGTATATAGTTCACTGGTTTCACTTTACTTGTTGCAGTTCCCAATATACGTGATGAAGAACACAGCATGAAACACGGCATGGTATTTAGCAGTTTTCCCAAGTTTATTATACACACATAAACGCTTAACTAATTGACGTCTAACACTTTCTCTTTGACGAGTGAAATCGTCCTGCATTACAGTAAGGCTGTTACCATAGATATCTATGGCTGTTACGTGTACGCACGATAGAGTTTAAATCTTTCTAAATTTTATATAAATACTAATTACCTCAACAAATTCACTTTAAATCATACTCAAACTAAATGCTGTGCTTTTATTCATTTAATTATATCATACGAAACTTTTAAATGGATTTAAATAAATTTTCCCATCTGTATGAAAAACGCAAGCTCTAATATAAACTGGAAAGCAACCTTTAGGCATCATAGTAATATAATGCAATAATTGACTGGTGTGGGAGTAGCTAATACAGTCTTGTGTTAGAGTAAAATTACCAATTACCTCGTGTTAGGCAGAATGAAACGGTCTGCAGCTGCTACAGGTACATTCTCGTATCCAGAGCCTTTCTTACGCGCGGTGCGACGAGGGGCTCTGGCCAAATCCAAAACTGGATACCATAAAAACATGGTAAAAGAATATATCCGGTATTAGAACAATAACCTTGGTTGTAGCCAATCAGATGCCAGTTTGATATGGATTTGGCCAGAGCCACTGATCTGTACTAATCAGTGGCCAGAGCCCCTCGTCGCACCGCGCGTAAGAACGGCTCTGGGTACGAGAATGACAAATGATAAGACAGTTCCCTTAGAGGGCAAATACACCGTAACCCGGTTCCAGTCTTCGCCTCATTACTCGAACATAAAGTTTCACTTTATTTATTAAAGTTCTCAATATGGCGTTCTGGAGAAACATCTATGCCTATGTCATATCCTTACTGTCAGTATTGTGGTTCACTTATAATTGGGTATTATCGCTTTTCAACAATGGAAGGAGAAGCATTCAAAATAACACCAATAGAGAATTGGAAGGTGTCAAATCATCAGTGACAGTGAATACCAGGAAATTCAAAGTATACATTTACAAAGAAGAGCGTGAGAAAATAGAAAATTGGGTACTCCAGAAAGACCGTATTGAAACCGGCGGTGATTTATTTGGGTTATGGCTAGACCAGCATAATGTTGTAGTCCAGTTTGTGTTAGGCCCTGGTAAACACTGTCGTAGAACTACAACATCGTTCTATCAAGATATTGACTATCTAGCGAGAGTTGGAAACTACATTACCAGGAATCATGGCTTATGTAACATAGGCCAATGGCACTCTCATCATAGGTTAAATTTACCTAGACCGAGCGCTGGCGATGAAGATACAGTATGGAATAACATGCCAAGTTTGGAAATGGAACGATATGTTGTCTTCATTGCAACAATCAAGGATTCAGGGAGAAGCAAATTCAAGACGGCGCATGTGAATTGCTTTCTCTTTGAAATTGAAAATGGAAGGAAGCTTCCAGTTTTGGAAGGAGAAATTTGTGCAATTAAACAGAAAGGTTCTCCATTACGTATGTGCAGTGAGTTAACTGCCTTGGCTGAATCGGGATTGGAACACGACGATAACACTGTCAGTGTAGTTATAGATAATGTATAGACAACATAATACAATATAATGACGTATATAGGGTATAATGACAATATTATGGCTATAATCTCGAACAATCTGTGCCAGTGGAGGTAGCGACGACAACAAGACAACTGCGAATTGAGAGAGATACAACTACCTGAGAAATATAGGCAGAACTTCGACGTTTCAAGCGAGGGACCTTCGTCGGAAAGTTTAAGCCTAGTTTCCATTGGGTCGTTAATTGTCGCTGGCACGACAAGCGGCAGATGTGAAATAGTCTAATATAATAATAGTCTTTTTGTGAGTTATATGCAAATCAGTCATAATGATTGCAGAGTTTTATAAAGTTTTGTTGACACTCTATTACATCAGCCATTTGTCGTGCCAGCGACAACTAACGACCAAATGGAAACTAGCTTAATAGCTTAATCAGCAGCAATATTGGTTATAGTGTAATGACAATAAATGTTGGCTGTATCGTATTAAATGACAATAAACAAGTTTATGTGATGTATAATAATGTTATGATGATGAAATTGTAATAAATTTGGAATTTTACTTCGCTCCTTCTGTTTCGTTCTAACATTCGTTCTTTCAAGTCAATATTCTTGTAAATTTAAAATCAAAACTGCAATGGTTACTGGTTAGAGAAACTAAACTTTTTCACGGAACAAAATTTCGTAAACATATTTCTATTCTTAGACAAATGATTTTTGAATATCTATCGCACTTGACAAATCAGCATGATCATGCAGAAAACGAAAGGATAAGTAAGGTCTGAGCGTATCATTTACGCAGCCAGACTGTGTTCCAGGAATCAAGTACTGCAACAACTACACTACAGTTCAGTGCTTCCATTTTCAAGGAAATTTCCTTTTCTAAGGAAATTCTAGTGTCGAAAAGGAAAATTCAAGGAAGAGAAAAAATCTAAGGAAATCTAAAGATTTTTTCCGAACAACTTAAATATTCATCCAAGTGCATTAGTGCAGACGAAAGTTTCACTATTTCTTGACTTTTTGAGTGAATTATCAATTATGTTTAATTAAAAATCTGTTTTTAATTTTTCCTCGTGTTTCCGAAAACTTTCGAAAGTTTTTGAGCGATGGGATTTAGTAACTTTTGGCGCCAAACGCTGTGAATAATTAATTATTTATATCAATGGGAAGGTATATGTTGTAAAAGCATAACAAATATTTAATTTTAAACAGTGTAATAGCCTGTGGTTTTTTAGCTAGCAATCATCTTTGTTAATTGTGCTATTTTCTGCCTTTAACATTGATTAAATCCTTTGTATCGCTACAAATGCACTGCAAACCGCCTAATGAAATTTCAAGGAATTTTCAAGGAAATTATGTATACAATCTAAGGAATTTAGGGAAATTTTGATGATAAAAATGAGAAATTTTGATTTTTAAAATGGAAGCACTGCTACAGTTTGCTACGGTCATTACATGGCTGACGACTCACTAAGGTTAATCTACATAAGCACAAGTGCAAAACAAGTTGTTGTTACTGTTAGCCTTGTTGTATATGGATATTTGGTCAAAGTACAAACCCACTTCCGTGTATCGATTAATCACGAGTTCTAGGAAATCGGCCACTTCGACGAAAACGAAAACACCAATAGAGACATAGAGTAGTAGCACAGGTAGTAGTTTTATTGATAAAGTTCAGTGTGCTACCTAGCACTCATTACATCCTCGCAAAGACGAATGGTTTCAAAGTTCCGTGTATCATCATTCATAATAACATTGAGTTCCGGAAGACAAATGGTGATACGTCTTCGAAGAAACGAAAATATTAATTAATTTATAGTTTCATTTCAGCAAAGTGAAACATTGGAGTACGCTTCATTATTGGCTAGTCCTTAATTGATATGGCTTAGATAACATAGTCCATTGCACTTCCAGGAAATAGACGCTAATACAACTTCGCGGAAAGCGAAAATATAGTAATCATAGTTTTATATCAGTAAACAAGGTAGTCGGTGTTTCATTCATTGTCATATAACATGGCGTGGTTTGGCTACAATCGCTACAATTCTCACGGTAAACGAAATTTTACTGTGTATATGAACGAAGGAGAAAGATATCAGATTGAGGAATGGGTGAAAAAATATCCAAATATTGAAACGGGGGGAGATCTTTTCGGAGCATGGATTGATGATCGTACAGCTGTCGTCCAGTTTGTGTTAGGACCGGGGAAGAAGGTATACCGAACAACTGGATCGTTTTACCAAGATATAGACTACCTAGGAGATGCTGGTAGTTACCTGACACAACAACATGGCTTATGCAACATTGGCCAATGGCATTCTCATCAGGGTTCAACACGACCAAGCGGCGGAGATGAAAACACCGTCTGGGGAAACATGCCTAATCTTGGTTTGAATCGATACATCGTCATTATTGCTACAATTACTAGCAGCTCTAGATCTTACTATAATGAAAACTATGGCAGTTCGTACCCTAGTGCTTACTCTGATGACGAAAGAATAACTGTGAATATAAACCCCTACCTCTTTGAAATCAAGGATGGGCGCAAAAATGATGTGTTGCATGGCTCGTTTCATTACATGACACAGAATTCGCCATTTCGTTTGGATAAAGCTATTGAAGTTAAAGTAGCAGTTGAAGCAGAGACTATCAACAATGTTGCAAGCTACGAAGAAATTTCAGCGGAAGAGAACAGAAAACGGTCACACGAAACCGGAAAAGGACCAGTTCAACCCGAGAGTAAGGAATCAGGCCTCTAGTTTCCTCTAAAGGTTATATGCAAGATCATCAAAATCGCATGAGTCCGAAGGACGAGTGCAATTTGAAGCTCACGAGCATGTATGTTTTTTCAAATTGCACGAGAAATCATACTGTTACTTATTAATAATATACACGAAAAAATTATGTAATTTAATTTTAGTAGTGAAAATGTTTAGTTTTTTGTATAATATCTGCTGTAAATTGCACTACTCTTAGCATATCCGAATTGAGAATTTGTTCATCTATATTATTAGACCTATTATTATATATCCTATATTTGACCTATATCAGAGTGCCACGTTATTTACGTGGCATGGTACGAAACTATATCTAGTAATAAATAAATAATAGTACAAAATCAGGCTCATTCTCACCATATTTTCTCTACAGTCTAGCACGACTCAAACCCGGGTCCTGGTACTCCAGGAAATCTCCCTTCTGCCCCTACCTCGTTACGGCAAGTTCTGGATTCCTCTTCACACTTCGGTACAGCACGAGGACATGGTCGTGGTATCCAAAGGAAAATATCATCTACTGGTGGTGCTAATTCCAGTCCTTAGAGTTCGCATCATTCCAAGTTACACACAACAGACAAGCCGAATATCATGGGGCCGAGGTCACGGAGCACAACACACCAGTCACACAAGCAAAAGATCGCTGTGGAACCATACCTGTCGGCAAATTGAACGCGAGAGGATATTTTTAAATCATTGTAGTTCACATAAACAATGACTTTATTTTTAATCAATACGTGAAACGTCCAACTTATAGTTTACTATATAGACGATTAAAGACGGAATACGGAATTTGTTTTGTGCTGCATTTTCAATTCTACATCCAACTAAATTTACTCCATTCAATATGGAATTGTTGACATATTTTCTAAAGCACTGATATAATCAGACGTTAATATCGCACAGAGTATAACGACCACCAAAACATACTCATATCACAAGCAGTTTATTTAAATTTTAGTAATAAATCCTATATATCACAACTATTAATTACTGTAAAAAAAATCCAATATGCAATATTGGATTATATCCAATAATATATAAAGTTGTATAGTTTTATTTAATGTGTGTGGAGATACACAGAAACGTATGAAAAGTATCATACACTAACTAAATGAGAATTTCTTTCAATCCTATACAGAAATAGTTATTGATTAGGAAGAATAGATGTTAAAAACAAATAGTCAGATTCCATTGGGCATTGTTATTTGATGACGCAGTAATGGTGGCTGGCAGTGCTGGACACTTCACGAAGTAGGGGAGCAAAATTTTCGACATGTATATGCCAAAGGTCCTTCGGTCCGTTTAAGGCTCAAAGTTATGCAAATCAAGATGAAAAGATCCATATACAATTTCCGTGGCAAGGATTTTGAAAAAAAATCCAGTGTATGTTGCTAACTTTAGCTTAAGTTTTATTTAATAGGAATTATTTAATATGACAATTATATGTATAGACAATATAATACAATATACTGTAGTGTTTAAAAAACTCATCAATAATTCATAAGGAAAAGACAAAATAAATCACTGCCGTGTCGATGGTTTTATATGTGATAAAAAAATCATGTTCATTTACATAAACTTTAGCTTTGACAACGTTTATTTTTAAAATTTCTTCGCTATTGAACTCAGCAGATGGGAAGTTAATTAGCCATTTCATCCCAATCGAGCAGAGGACTGGGTCCAGTTGATAATTGGCGGGACGTTTGGAGGGGCAACAAGTTATATCGAGCGAGCTAAATATATATTAAAAGATGCCTTATTATAATTGTTGCGTTTTAGGCTGCACAAATAACTTTAGGAGTGTAGGAAAACTTCCTAGATGCCATATTCGGCATATTGTTTATTTTTTGTTCCTCCAAACAAGCAACTAGACCCAGTCCTCTGCTCGATTGGGAAATGGCTAATTAATTTCCCAACGAAGGGCCTCGCTCGAAGCTGCATTTCTCAATCAGCAGCAATATTGGTTATAGTGTAATGACAATAAATGTTGGCTGTATCGTAATGACGGCAAACAAGTTATATATGTGAAGCATAATAATCGTATGATTATATTATACAATAATTTGAAATTTTACTCCGGTCCTTCTGTTTCGTTCTTTCGTTTTTATAGATAAGTCAATATTCTTGTAAATTTAGCAAAAAACAGATTTAAAATAATGACTGCATTGGTTACTGGTCAGTCAAACTAAATGTTTTAATGCAACAAAATTTAAGAAACATTTCTTTATCTTAGGTATCTTTTGGACAAAATTACTATATAATCAAATTATATTGCATTTGATTAGTCAGCATGATCAGAAAATGAAAGAATAAGTAAGCTGTAAGGTCAGAGTTTAATCATTTCCTATTATCATTTTATACGGAGTCAAACTGATAGTGATGGGCGATTACCGATTACTTGGTATCGATACCACTCGATACCAGGCCCAAACAGGAAGTAGTCGATACTGTACGGTATCGAAAAAGTGTTTTTCGATTACTTTTAAAATTAGACATTCATTATAATCCTGCAGTTGTGTCATCATTTTCATGGTTATTTCTAATAACATTTATGTACTTTTTGGTATTTTGCTGCATTTATCAATTTAATCAAACTTCCTTTGTACTTTATTTGACATTCTATTCTCGCCGACAGAATAAATTATGAAAAAAGGCGGGAAATAAAGTAATTTTTGTTTTTTTATGGATTAAAATGGTGGATCAAATCGTTACTGTTAAAAATATGTAACTTTTTGAAAATTGGAGGAAGTAATCGTTTGGGTAATCGATACCTCGATACTTTAACCAAAAAGTAATCGGTATCGTATCGAAACCGATACTAGTGGTATCGCCCATCACTACAAACTGAGTTCCAGGAAATAAATGCTACTACGACTTCCAAGAAAACGAAAACTACAGTGCACGAAAAAAACATTAATTGCATCAACACCAATACGGCTATACACAAGTGCAAAATAATGTTGTTAGCCTTCATTATAATTGTTGTTATTGATAAGACTATTGAGTATTGGCTGACAAGGTACAAATCCACTTCCGTGTATGAATAATCATGAGTTCAGTTGCCACTAATACAGTAATAGTAGTTTTATATCACTGTTCCATTGATTGCACACTATCATGGCAAATCTTATTATAGCCCAGGCTAGCATGACTTATGGTTTGTAACATTTACTTCTAGGAATTATTAGATGCTATTAAAACACAACTTCGTATAGAAAACGAAAATAATAACAGTTTCACTTCTGCAAAGTGAAACAAAGCAATATTACACTATTGGCTAGCATTTAATTGACATCGCTCTTCCGTGTATTTTTACATGAGTTCCAGGAAATAGACGTTAGTACAACTTCGCGGAATCCGAGAACAAATAAGAATCAGTCAAGTTTTATATCACATTAAAGTGAAACAAAGCAGTGTGCTACATTCATTGCAACAACATGGCTAGTTATTATCGCTACAGCTCTCAAAGTAAAGGAACGTTTACTGTTCATATGAATGATGGGGAAAAACATCAGATTGAGAAATGGGTTGAACGATACCCTAATATTGAAACGGGAGGAGATCTGTTTGGAGCATGGATCGATGATCGTACAGCTGTCGTTCAATTTGTATTAGGACCAGGGAGACATTGTAGGCGAACTGGTGTGTCCTTCTTTCAAGACATAGATTATCTCAGAGAAGCCGGTAGCTACCTGACACAAAAACAAGGTTTGTGCAACATTGGCCAATGGCATTCTCATCATCGGCTAGGTCTAACTCGACCAAGCGGGGGAGACGAGAATACTGTTTGGGGAAACATGCCGAATCTTGGATTGGATCGATATATCGTGATCATTGCTACAATTACAGGCAGTTATTACACAAGTTCTTACTCCCACGAGGAAGGATTATCTGTGAATATAAACCCATATCTCTTTGAAATCAAGGATGGGCGCAGAAGTAATGTGTTACATGGCACGTTTCAGTACATGGAACAGAATTCGCCGTTTCGTTTGGACAAAGCTATTCAAAACAAAGTGAAAATTGGAGCTGAGACAACAAACGATGTCAAACGTTATCCAAAAAGGCCACATGGAAGTGAAAGTCATGAAGTACTGGCAAAGATAATGAAACCGGAAACTGCAGAAGTATTACCAATGATAATGAAACCGGAAGCAAAATCACATCACCACACCCAGTCTCAAAACAGTAAGTTGTTATGGTATTATTCTTAAATCCATACGAAGTGAAAATTTTTTGTCAGAGAATGTTTTGTTTCTTGCTTGTATTTAATTAATGAAATCACTTGGAACAAGTTATATGGTATTATTATATGTAATTGGCATCACCATGATGTCAAGCTGGTTGCAGCCTGGAGGAGGGGAGGGGAGCTTATTTATTTGAGGCATTTTTTACTAGGAGGTTATCAAGGGGGCATACTTATATTTTTCAACAAAGTAGAACGTAAGAAACCTACTAAATTATGGGGAATTATGGCAGACAGGGCAGGTCAATAATTTATCTCCTATATTTACTATATCATTGTTATGTAGGTTAGCATTGTGTAGTTTTTCTTTGTGTAAAAAATGAAGCCACAAATCAGCCAATAGTGAGAGATCAACAAATAGCCAATAGTGAAAGAGAACTATTTCTGAGGAAGCTTTATTTGTGAATATATAATTAGGTATTATACAAGTGTGAACGAAATTTCAGGAACTAAACCATTCTAATGTCTCTGAACATTCGGTCTGAGATCAGTGGCAATAGCCTGAGGGTGACCCATTGGTGGCATCACTTTCAGTGGCAGAAATCT